TTATTTTATGAAACACTGAGTGTCATCAGTTTACCTCAATCCGTCATTTGACTCTAATTAACATAATAAACACCTGAGCAATAGAACTGTCCCTAAATGGTGTTCTTTCCTACTCCTATAGCTGGTTCCCACATTATGTCACATGTCATACATGTCTATGTTCCCATGGCACTGAAAACCATAGACGAGATCATCAGCAAATATTTGTCAAATGAGTGCATAGAAACTCAGTCAGAGCTGTTTTTAAATAACTAGTTTTCAAAATCAAGCCAGCTATAAATTAAATGTTAGATATGACAAAGCAAGTAGTGTAAATTTTATTGTCTAAATTCAGTAATGAATGACCATGACACTTAAATGTATTCACCAAACACATTTGGTGAAGGTGTGAAATATGCTTCATTTGGATAATAGTTGTAAAAATGTCCTTAAATAATTTGCAGTAGTTGACTAGAGAAATTATAAGAACACTGGTTGGACTTTAGAAAAAAATAACCAAAGGCTTAGAGTCAGCAAGCCTATGAAATTATAATAAAAATTTCATACGTACTGTGAAATCAATACTGTCTTCATTGAGTATAATGAACATTATTGCAGCTTGATTACATAAGCTAAATATTAGCAGAACTCTGGAATAGGCACTGTTCAATATATAAGAACTTGATTTTTCCAATATAGGACGTAGCTCAGTCAGAGTAGAAGTCCTGGGGGTGTGGAGAGACAGCCATGTGCATTGTTATTCTCTGTTATTCAAAGGGGTTTCTGCTCCCTTCATTCCAGTGTCATTCATGGCTCTTACATACGACTGCAGAGTTCACAGATCTTTTCACCGAGAGCTAAGACCAGAACTGAGGACTCCCAACCAGAAAAGAGAACAGGACACAGAGCAGTTCTAAGGTTTTGAATACCTATATTTTGTCAGCTAATGGAGAAGCCCAGAGCAACCAGAAACTCTTTACTATTGTATCAGCTCAGAAGCAACACAAATCTTTTTAATGTCACAGATGGTAACACGTTCCTGAACTTTTCCCATGGCTGGCAACTGAGAGCAGTCTGTTATCTTTTTTTTTTTTCCTGGAAAAGAATCATTTAATTTTTCCTCCCTCTTTTTTTGAAATATATATTTTATTGAATTTCTGGCACTTCATACATCTTAATATTTAGATCCCCTATCTGTACCTCCCCAACTAGCTTTGCCACCAGATTTCATGCATTCTATCAGATATGTTCAGGCCTATCAAGTCAAGTTCATGTGCCCAAGTATTCCTTAGTGTGAGTTGCCCAGGCTCCAGTGAATGACAGTCCTTCTCAATGAACCAAGTTCTTCAGACACTGAGTCCACTACTATAAAAGGCTAAGGTTTTGTGATATATTCCTATAAAAAGAGTAGTATACTTTGTTTTCTGTGTAATCCACATTTCTAAAGCATGCCATTTATAAATGTATTTTATACTGTTTTGAATTTTAAGATTTAGGGCTACCAATATGGGACCTTAGTCAAGTGAAAAATATTACCCATGGCTCAGTCCCTCATATTTGAAATGAGATTAATATAAATACTGGCATTACAGAATTCTGATATTTAAATGTTTTAAAATATAGCAGAGCTTAAGGCAGTGCCTGTAATATTTTAAATGCTTTATACTTGATAGTTGTTATTTGCAGTGTTCTGTATTTCTTGTTGGATTTATTTACTTTAGTGTTTATATAGGTGTGTGTGTGTGTGTGTGTGTGTGTGTGTGTGTGTGACTGTGTCCACATACATGTCACTGTGCACTTGTAGAGGTCAGAAGACAACTTATAGGAGTCAGTTCTTTCTTTTCACCATTTGGATTCTGGGAATCATTGAATTCAAGGAGTCAGGGTTGGTGAAAAACTCCTTTACCATCTCACTGGCTCAATGCTGTATATTTTTAATAGATTTTTTTCAGACTTAACCTCAAACATTTTAAAAGGTACAAACAAATTCTTCATTTAACAATGATGGCTATTAATATTATCATCTATTGTTCATTATTATGAAAATATTTAAACTTTAATATTATTTATGAAAAAAATCATATTGAAATAATTGTTATTCAAAATAAATGCAGTATTTCAAATTATCCAAGCTAAAGTAAACAAATTCCTAACTACCAAAGTTTGCAGTAATTTTGAGCATTGTATGTAAATGAAATTTATTTAGAGTTAATTTACACTGTATACTTTTAACATACATAGCAGTTGGTCAGCTAATTTCTTTGAAAATATTTGTGTTTCTAGTAAGAATATTAGTTTCTACTATTCAGAATATTAAAGTTTAAGTTGGTATGACTCATAATTAGTAAATTATAACCATGGTCAGAGTATAACACTTGTTTTTAAATATATTATTCAATAAAGTCACTAAATACAAGCATTTTGTAAAAGCATTATTAAATTTCCATGTAGGTTTTGGGTAATCACATAAAATTTTACTTGCTACAATTAAATACTTAACTTTTGAGTGCTCTGTGAGGGAGTAAGGGTTCTTGTTGCCACTGATTAATTCTTCTTCAACTCAGAGAGCCAATAATCAACTGTAAGTGTAATGATTAATTTTTACAAAATAAAATATATAGGGTTAGTGAGTATTGCTACTAAGACATAAATACCATAAATTCTAAGTAGATGTGTGTGTGTTTGTGTGTATGTGTATTTGTACATACATACCACTGTGCTCACTATGCATTCATTAAATGACTCTAGAAATGGGGAGAATTTCTTCACTAAGTATATGCTTTGAGGGTATTACATAAAGTGATGAATGAATTCAAATTAACTCTCACATCTGGTTTCTTTCTAACTCATAAACCTCATGTCAGCATAAATCATACTGGAGTATAAATCATATCACTTGTTTCTCAGCATTCTTTAGAAAGGTATTATGGAAGGCACAGTCATTATGATTCACATTCACAATGGAAAAAAAGGGATTTAATAATTCCCCAAAGAGAATTTTAGAAATCATGTAACTCCTTTGTTACTTCCACTTAAGAAATCCATGTTTTTAATCCCTTCCTGGATAAATGTACCTCCAGTTTTGTAGTTTAGATATGATTCATCCCCCTTCATGCATAAAGTTCATGCAGTAGTTTAATCCCCATCATGGATTTACGGTATTAAAAAGAAGAGACTTTATGTAACCTTGGTGTTTAGAAATAGAAGCTTCAAGAAATTATTATGATTAGAAAAGAGCATCTGGTGGAGTCCCTCTGAATGCACTGTAGTGGATTTATAAGAAGAACGAGACTATACACAGGCATGTGCATTCTTCCCTCATGTCATGCTTGTGCTACCTTAAGAGTCTGTCACCAAGGAAACCAGGCCTTGCATATCTAGAAAACAAAGTCAAGGAAGCTGCCATCTTTTCCTACACTGATGTAGAGACTGTTAGGAGGTGGTGAAACCATAGAAGGTGGGCCTGGCTGAAAGAAGTTGGCCACCTAAGGCATGTCCTTGGGGCCATGCTTCCTTCCTCTTAAAAATGTGTTCTGTTTCTTGTTTACCCTGATATGAGCTGTTCTTTCTGCTTCCAGTCCACCACACACCCTGCTCAACATGCCCCCTGTAAGTTAAATTTACTGCTGGGGTGTCAAGATACCCTCCAGCCCTCCTCCCACTGTCCTTACCACAAACCAAGATAATATCCCTCCAAACTACAGTTTAGGGAAAAAAAGAATTTATTGGGCTTGCTAACAGAGCATAAGGTGATGATGACTGGTTACTTACAAGGTGTGGGCACCCTTGTGCTTTTTCCCTTACATCCTGACAGCAACTTCCCGTCCTGCTGCCTGTGTTCCAAGATGACTAAACCCATCCGCTCTCTCTGGTTTCCCCTGTCCCTATTCTTTTTATTATTATTATTTTTTATTATTTTTATTTTATCTGTATGAGTTTATTGCCTGTGTGTATTTGAGTGCACCCATATCATGCAATGCTGCAGAGGTCAGAAGAGGACTTCGGATTCCCCTGGAACTGGAGTTAAGGACAGTTCATAGCCGCCATGTGGGTGCTGGGAATCAAACTCGGGTCCTCTGCTAGAGCAGTCAGTGCTCTTAACCACTGAGCCATGTCTCCAGTTCCCCCTGTCCCTATTCTTAAGTCCCTCCACCTCATGCAGCTAAGGCTGATTATGTGGGAGGGGTGACTGACTCCCTCTGCCCCTCCCCTCCTATGGAAGATCTTATAGTCCAATTAATTTGAGGTGATTGAAGCAAGCTGGTGAGAAGCTAGAGAAGACTTCTGTCCATTGCTTGCCACATGGCTTGCCACTCAGAGGACAAGCTCATCCAACATCCCCTATCCTACTATGATGTTCTTCCCTAGTATATGGGATCAAGTTGCCAGAAGGAACCCCCCCCCCCGAAATGGAGTACATCTTCCCTCCTTTAAGATGTCTATCTTCGGTACTTGCTCTCAGCACTGAGAAAGCTAATGAAAATATGATACTATTTTTGTTATACATTCATAATTCTGTCTTGTTTATTACTATATGTTTAATAATGTCAGGCATGCCTGCACAGAGTTGGCACCTGAAAGAATGACTGCTTTGAAGATTCAACTATTCTTGACTGATGAAAATATCATCTGACCCTTCCTACCTGTTTCCATGTTTTCTGGTCTTAAGACAGGAAGTGGGAGGGTCACTCATCCTGGATTTTCCTTTTCACACCATCTATGGTAATGGTAGTCACTGTAGCAGTTGTGTGAACATGTCAAGACTAACATTAGAAGATAAACAAAAATAACTTCCTTTTTTGATGACAATTTGTCCTTTCTATAACAACCAAGTAGGAAATTGAATTGAGATCTCTAAGTTTTGCTTTCATTTTTCCTTGTATTAAATCTCCTTATTTTTACATAGTCACAACCTCGAAGTGTGCCTGACTTTAAGAGCAGAATCTAGAAAAGTTATTATGTTGAACCATCTTTCTGGGTTAACGCAGGTGATGACAAACGTAATGTGCTTTGTTTTTCAGATCTCCAACTAAAGACATGGATTCAGAAGGGAAGGAAATTGTGGTTTGGGTTTGCCAGGAGGAGAAAATTGTTTGTGGCTTAACCAAACGTACCACCTCCGCCGATGTCATCCAGGCCTTACTGGAGGAACATGAGGCTACATTTGGGGAGAAACGCTTTCTCCTGGGCAAGGCCAATGACTACTGCATCATTGAGAAGTGGAGAGGCTCAGAGCGCGCTCTTCCTCCACTAACCAGGATCCTGAAGCTGTGGAAGGCGTGGGGAGATGAACAGCCCAATATGCAGTTTGTTTTGGTTAAAGCAGATGCTTTTCTTCCAACGCCCTTGTGGCGGACAGCTGAAACCAAGCTTGTGCAAAATACTGAAAAACCTTGGGAGCTGAGCCCAGCGAATTACATGAAGACGTTACCACCAGATAAACAAAAGCGAATCGTCAGGAAAACCTTCCGGAAACTGGCTAAAATTAAACAGGACACGGTTTCTCAGGATCGAGACAATATGGAGACATTAGTTCATCTGATTATTTCTCAGGACCATACTATTCATCAGCAAGTTCAAAGAATGAAAGAGTTGGACCTGGAAATTGAAAAATGTGAAGCTAAGTTCCACCTTGATCGAGTAGAGAACGACGGGGAAAATTATGTTCAGGATGCCTATTTAGTCGCCACTTTCAGTGAAATTGAGCAAAAGCTAGACTTTCCGTCTGAGGAAATCCAGAGTCCTGAGGACCTGAGCGAGAGTGATGGAATACTGCAGCTGGAAGAAAGACTGAAGTACTACAGGAAACTCATAGAAAAGCTCTCGGCTGAAATTGAGAGAGAGGTGAAGAGCGTGAGTCTTGAAGTAAGTGGAGACGCAGAGGGGGCAGCTGTCTGTGAGCTGGAAAGCTCAGATGTAGAAAGCGTTAAGTGTGATTTGGAGGAGAGTATGAAAGCTGGTTTGAAAATCCACTCTCACTTGAGTGGCATCCAGAAAGAGATTAAATACAGTGACTCATTACTTCAGATGAAAGCAAAAGAATATGAACTGCTGGCCAAGGAGCTCAGTTCACGGTGCATTAACAGCAAAGATGGATGCCAGTTAAAAGAAAACCGAGGGAAGGAAGCTGAGAATCCCAGTGGGGAGGTCCCTGCGTTCACTCAAAGGGCGTTCAACACATACACTAATGACACAGATTCAGACACAGGTATCAGCTCCAACCACAGCCAGGACTCTGAAACAGCACTGGGAGATGTGTTGCTTTTGTCAACTTAACCCAGGAGGCTTCTTACCGACCACTAAGACTGTTCTGTGTAATTTAACAAGAAGTTATTCCAAATTCAACTTTGTTACAATGTATCACATGCTAAAGTATTCACTAATTAATGAAAACTAGTGAAATGTAGTGAAATATTGCTTGTTTTCAGTATACTATTTCCAATGTGACTTTGTTAAATGTTCAGGCAATGAACTGTGCATTAGGAATGCAGCAAAATTAGCTCATAGTTACATAACACAGAAAGAACTTGACTGGGAATCATTTGATAATCACCCATAGCTTCTATGAGAAATGATTTATATAACCCTAAAACAATCTTCAGTTTTGCTCAGCCAAAATATTCATTCTGCAAACTTGAAGATGTAAAATGAAAATGTGTGTGTCTTCTTCATAGCATTGTAACATTAAAATGTTTAAATCTGTAAAGTACAGGACAGCTACTATGCTATAACTGTTTAATTAATCCAAATCTTTTTTTTCAATACTTAGATTAAAAAAGGAAGACTTCTACCTGTTTAAGTCTAAAGGACAAAAAACTGTTGGAACGTGTGTAATTCTTGACAGGGGATCACAATAATTACAAGTGCTACATGCAATCAGCAAAATGTTTCCAAGCAAGTCTAAAGGGATCAAAAGCTTTTGCTATATGGTCATAGATTTGATCACACCAGTGTTGTGTGGAGGTCATTCTTCTGGGAGGTATAGCATTAGATACAGAAGAAATCTATCATAATTTTATTAACATCCTAGAAGTGGTAAAATTCATGATTCCTTGTGTGGATAATATAGTGTCCTATGCTCTCAGGACATACTGATTAGCACTCACATGGGCAAAATGAGTGTTCTGCTGTACCAAAAGCCTAGCTATCATAGTTCTTTAGCTGAGATGCTTAAAACAGCCAAGGAGTTTAAACAGCACCATTCAAGGCATTCCAGTAGAAACTCAAAACTTAAGTGGATTATTTGGGTTCAAACTTCACTGAAAATTATAATGATTTTGCTTGGTTTTAAAATCGTCATTTCTTCTTAGTCCTGCCCATTTTTCTTGTTAGCCAGTGTCTCCTTCTCATTGCCCTCCTCTTTCTCCCTTCCTGCAAGACAAGATGTCAGGATACCAAAACAACTAAGTTATCATTTTATTGTTTGCTGAATGTTGCTGCAGCTTTTTTTTTTCTTAAGTTGCCACATTTCATCCATGTCAGGATACAGAAGTAAAAATGGTATTTTATGGATCAAATTATGCAAACATTGACCACTTTTCCCAGTTTGCTTCTCTGTTATGCATATGTATGAGAATTGTAGTGATTTTCTCTTTTAAAATTTGGAAATATCTAAAATTTACCTTTTTGATTACTCAGTTTCCTTAATTTAGCCTTCCTGTTTGTTCATTCTTACTCCCTCCCATTAGTTCCTTCACCTATTTTTGGTTGATATTTTGAATTACCAGTGTTTTACTTCTGGGAAGAATCTATGTTATTTCTTGAATCAAGACATTTGCAGGCCATAGTTGTAAAACAGGAATTTCCATTCCAAAAAAAAAAAATTATAGGGAAAAGCAATAAGTAATCAGGTTAACATAAATCACATTTTCTAAAGAAAGTTTTGAATAGTCATTTGTGCAGGGGAAGTTCATCTGACTAACAGCCTATTAGATTTTTGAAGACCTTGATAAATGGTCATATTTATTTTTACTGCTAGGGATTAAATTCAGAAGATTTTCATAAATGATAAGTCAGTCGTTATCTTGTTTTCCTAAAGTGAAAGCCATCTCTTTGGATTATTTGCATATTTAGTGAGAAAACAAAAAAAATCTTGCTAATCTCAGTATCCAAATAGACAAAATATCCGAATCCAAAAACAATTGTGATAAGAAATGTGAAATGGAGAGTTTCCCTTTAGAACTTTAACTTCTTTATACATGATTACTTACAGTGATGCTAAAGGGCAATGCTATAATGTTTTAAACTTTTGTTGGGAAGCAGGACCATTGATTTTTAAATTCCTTGTAGAATTTACATTTCATCTGCAACTATAAAAATGAATTTCTGATCGTGATCATTTCATTAAATCACATAGTGAATAGTTGCCATGGTGAACCCTAATATAATTACATATATTTATACAATTGGAAATAATAAATGATCTGCTGACTGAATACTATCCATTATTAATTTGAGAATTAAGATTTAAAATACAAGCCTTGAAATTTTATTGTTTTAATTACTTATAGTAACTTGATAAGTTGCAAATTCTTTAGTAGCTGGAAGGTTAACTATGAAATGGCCCATATGTTACTAGAAGAAACAAGCCAGAGCTGACTCCACTTATTTCTCAAGACAAGCATTCATTGTTTATTCTTATCTTCAAGGTACCTCCACTGAAATGTTACCTACTTTCAGTGGGCTTTTTAAATTGCTGTTTTCTTTCACATATTTTTGCCCCACTTAATCAATTCTAATATCTTATCCCTGAACTCACAAATATTTTAGATACACTTCTCACTTCCTAGCTGATAGTCTATCTTCAACAGTGTATATTTTTGGACTTGTCTACCTCCATTTAACCTGTAGAGTCTTAATTTATTATTTTATCATATCTTTCTTACTTTATTTCTTATTACCAGCTTCTTTGTCCCACATTCAATTTGTGAATTGAATCATTAAATTTAAAATGCTTTAATTTTTCACAAGATTTTTAACATGGTCAATGATACTTGTGCACTTTGTATGTGAACATACCTGTTAATAGGCATCACTATCAACAACAATTCTATTTGTACATTTCTAGGAGTAAGTAGTAAATCTTCATGTTGCTATCAATGTTATTAATGTTCGATGATTTTCATTGACATGAAGAATCATACAATATTAGGGATCCTATGTGATAAAATTAGGGATACTGTGTAATATTTCAGCATACACACACACACAATGTGTAATGTTCAGGTGAGAGTAAGCATTAATTTTATTCAATTCATAGTTACTGAGTTAAAACAACTTAAATAACACCTTTTAATTCACTTTAATGAGACTATTATAAATTTCTCAGTATTGTGAATATAGAAGAAAAATATGTTTCATACAGTTAAGTTTGAAGTGGTAGACACACAAAAGAACTTCTAAACATCGGAATGAAATCTGTGTATCATAGTTATTCTTAATTTTAAAATTACTGATCCTCCATTAACAGAGAGAAGCTATTCTAATCCATTGAATTTTTATTTTTGTATTTATTTAAATGTCCACTGAACATGACAAAATATATTTCTGTGGCTGCATTTTATACTTTTTCAGAGTAGAATTATTATTGTATTCAAAACATATTTTTCTAGTGACAAAGGAGCATCCTTTTAATCTTGAGATAGTTTTCTAAAATAATAGTGGGCTACTTTGTTTCATACTGCCTGACTGGTTTGTTAAACTTTATGTGACAAATGTAAAGTATCACCTCTTCAAGTTTATAACTGATTCAGAAAAATAAAAGATTATTGTACCCTATCCTGTGGTATTTTTTCTCTTGGTATCTTATGTGGCTATAATTACAACAAATTGTATGTCAGTTTCTATTATATAATTGCTAAGCTAAATCACAATATTTATTTTAAGACAGATTAGTATTTCATAACAATACAAATATGTAGCAATTAAGATCTAACAAGACTTTTTAATTACGTTTTGTACATACATGTTCCAATTTGTTATGGAAACATATTCCAGCCTGTATGCTGATTCATGGATTCTTGCTTATTAGAATGAAATTACAAATGGATTCTCCTTATTAGAATTCATTCTGTCATTTCATTTCTCAAGATGAGCCTTTGTTTGCTTTAAGTAATCATTAGAATCAGGACTTTCATTACCTCATTCCATAGTCATCATGAAATGACTTTATTAAATGATTATATAATGTCTATCAAAACACATAAAACTAGGTTTATATTATTTTGTTTACCAATATATCTCAATAGAGATAGGAAGAACTTGTGTTGTAATCAACTGTTGGACTTCAAAATTGTAATCTTTAAATTTCCACAATTGATAAGCCTGAAAATCTCAATGATTATCTCCAGAATTCAAATAAAAGCAATTCTCTTGTTTTTCTTATGTAATCATAAAAAGTTGCTTTTATAGGAGTCTATTAAGATGCTGCATTTCATAGACATAATATAGTTGAATATTTACTTTTTGGTAAAACAGACACATTGCAAAGACAAATTATTTTTAAAAATGAATGTTGAGAAATGAAAATTCTTTTCTACTCTTGGGACTCAGCTAAATCTGACATTTAAGATTTTAATTACTATTTATGAATTGTTCTAAAGAAAACATATGCTTATTCAGGTCAACAGTTAGTTACATATACAGACTATAATTTTTCCAAAGCAAATGGTTTGGTCCTTTACCTTTATACCCACACTTTTGTCATTCTAAAACATAACGACTCTGGAGAGGGTCCCACACTGTTCATGTGGAGAGCCCTCATCTTACTGTGTCCCTGTCTTACTGTAGCATGGAATTACACAATCAATACCATAGCACTGGCAATACTATAGCGCATCAATGCCATAATCAGTTTATCTATTTTTCTCCTGATATTGTTTGGTGGTTTCCAATTATTTACTCTACTATTACAATACCCATCTAAAGAATTTCTGTGTGGATAGTTACAGAAATATTGACTCACAGGGTGACAAATGCACTTACAATTTTGGGAACCATCAATGGTCTACATATATTGAAATTAATCCTTTATGATTTGATTTTCAGATGTAATCTTTAGATATAATGTTTACTTTTTTATTTGTAAATTTTCAAATGCAAAACAAATTGTAGTTATAAGTTGAGTTTGTGAGTTAATAACTCAAGTGTTTTTTGTTTATTCTTTAAAAATCTGTCATATTGCATAATAAATAATAAAAGTATAGGCTGTGCATATTGGCACATGCCTTAATCCTCAGCGGTTGGATGGTAGAGGCAGGCAGATTTCTGTGAGATCGAGACCACCATCATCTATGTATCAAATTCTAGGCCAACTGAGGCTACAATGAGGTCCTGTCTCAAAAATAAATGAAAATATAATTTCTACTTTGTTTTCTATACTACATTTATGTTTTAATTTCAAATGTTTCAGCAATAAAGGTACAGTTTTTACAATGTTTGAAAAATCAGCAGATAATATTTAGTTTAGGTCATTAAAATTATTCCATTACACTTGCTGAATAACTTTGTCCCACTCTTTTATTTTATTTTATTTTTCTTATTTATTGTGTATGAACCAAATTGCAGTACTTTTGTTGGATATATTTTTTGCCTTTCTGTATCATCCTCTTTATTTGGTTGAGCTGTATGTTCATATTCTAGTACTAAATTTAAACCTGATTTT